AAAAAAGAGCGGCCAGTGCTCTTAACTACAGACCCATCTCTCTAGTCCCAAAATTAAAATTTAAAGTTTTTTTTTTGGGGGGGGGATGTCTTTTTGAGACAGAGTTTCTCTGTAGCCCCAGCTGCCCTGAGGAGTGCTGGGATTAAAGGCGTGCACCACCACACCTGGCAAAATTTAAAGTTTTAAAGTAATTTATTTTTATAAAATTTTATCTTGTAGAAAGTCCCTCTACATTAATATGTTTAATAATAATAAGATAAAAGCAATATAAATTCAATTTTTTTCTGCTGTTAACATAAAAATGCCATCTTCAAGTTTTCCCTATAAGGAACACCATTTCCATGCCTAAAATCTCCCTAAACCTGTAAAATGGATGGAACTAGAAACTGTTATACTAAGTCAAGTAACACAGACTCAGAAAAACAAATGACTTATGTTCTCCCTCATACGTGGACCCTAGCATCAAATCCTTATAAGTGAGTATGTATCCAGATATAACTACAGAAACCAGGATAATGAAAAGGAACCAGGGAGCTAAAAGAAAAGAAAGAACCTGAAAGCGAAGAACAGTAGGAAGCAGGTGTTAATAAGGGAGATATGTATAAAAATGTCGTTATTTTAATGGGAGGGGGGAGGAAGGGTTATACAAGGAATCTTGGGGATAAAGGGAAAGAAGGAGCTCAAGAGAGGAGAGACCATAGGAAAAGGGTTATTATTAAGGGAGAAATGGGAAAAAATGGGGAAAACATGGTGGAAGGGTTAGACAATGAAAGAGATAAATAATGCCTAGCTAGTTTTAAAACAGAGGGAACCATATTAGTCCAACAATCTACTGACAAATTATACATAACAACTAGCTCAAGGAACATAATATGTGTCTAGTCAAGGTTTATCTGAGAACATTTGATTTTTGCCCAAGCTTTATCTACGTAGCACAAGATAACTAAAAGTACCAGACTAGTGGAACTAACCTTCTTGGATGTTTAACAGACATACTTTGAGGCCTATACTAATCTGGTCAGAGGGACTTCAAGGACAGTATTTGCTCCTTGTCCTCCAAGATTGACTAAGTTCAGGGGACCATGGAGCATCGATCAAAATGTCCTGTAACTATGGTGAGTCAGCTGTTCTCTTGATCAAGGAGGCCGTGGAGACCCACCAGATGGACTTGAACCAGTGTCCAGTCTATAAAGAGGAGGGTCAACACAGAGGAAACATTTCCTCCATGCTGCCAAGTGAAGCCAGCCACTGTCTAGCAAGACCTTTGACTTATCTTCACATAGATGGAACTGGTAAAAGAAAGGAGCCAGGGGCTCCTCCCAAGCCCATGTGACCCTTGAGGAACAGATCCTCAAATGACCTTAAAGAGTAAAAATAAATTGGGTAATCTGGGCCAACTGTATGGTCTTAAACACCCAAAAGGAAAGTATAACCAAAGATTAAAGTGATCAGTATAATTCTTTAAGAGTCCATGTAGATAGCTAAAGGCTATATAACAAGAAACAATGCCAGACAGGAGATACCTCCTTAAACCTGTAACAGGTAGAAAAATCTTTTGAGGGATGTAAACTTAAGAGGTTTTTTTTTTTTGGTCTTTTTGAGACAGGGTCTCCCTGTAGTCCCAGCTGTCCTGGAACTCATGTAGACCAGGCTGGCCTTGAACTTACAGAGATCAGCCTGTCCTGGGATTAAAGGCGTGTGCCACCACGCCCAGCATGTAAATTTAAGAGTTTTAATTCCATTAATCTGAAGATATGTGTTTCAAATAGACATACAAATATAACTTGGAAACTATTTTTCCAGACTATGTGTCAAAATTACAGGAATCATAGGAGATCTCTCTCCACAAAAGGAAATTTAAGCTTTATTTTCTCAGCAAGGTATGCATTTAATTATGCCTCTTGCTAAAACTACTATTAATCTAATTTTTTATGAGAAAATTTGTTTAATTTGCTTTTTGTGACAAAAGACACAGGCTGACTGCTAAGTCTTACAAACTCAAAGGAAACAAAAATATCTAGTCAAATGTGCAATATATTGAAATCTTTTTAATGAATTTTGTTCTCACTGTAATTTTTTTTACCCCCCTACTTTCTGAAACAACGGTTCTCAACTGGAGGCAATTTGGAGCCCTGGGGACATTTAGCAATGTCTGGAGACAATTTTATTATGAGGGGGACTGTTACTGGTATCTTATGAACAGGAGCTAGGGATTCTGGAAAGCATCCTATAACATGCAAGACAGTACTGTTCACAAAGACTATTCCCAACTAACATGTCCATAATACCAAGGCTGAGACTCTTACTCCACAAAACCTGAGTGTTAGCAAGGAAACAAACCCCCCATAGTTGGGAGGAGCAGGGTGCAAACGGCCACAACAGGAACCAGAGCTATCTATTAGAAACAAACACTCTGTATCATCTTGGGCAATTTATTTACCTTTCAAAACTTCAGATTTATTAGCTCTCCAAGCCACAGTAATAGCCCCTTATCTAAGTACTGTGAAATGAGATCTAAATAACAAAGCACTTAACAAAACCTAACACATAGTATCTACAGTTAAATCTTTTTCACATCTGATCGTCTATGTATGAGGATGACTTTTCAGGAGAAGACTAACACGCCTACAAACTGATTTACTTCATAACTTGTCAGTCATGTTTTGAGAACATTTAGGACTATACATCCCTTCTGTTAACATGCTGTGTACTCAGTTTGCTCAGGATTAGTTTTATTGTCATTTGGAATCCCGATGTACTCAACTCTTACAAGCTAAGCTAAACACACATACAGCTCTGTTACTCGACTATGCCCCTGCCTCAGTATAATGTTGAGAACAAGAGAGACAGCACTGATGACTGTGGCTTTGTATGCTGCTCTAAGTTAGGAGCGTTAGAAAAACAACTTTTTCCCTATCAAAGATTGTTCATGCCTGTCCCATACCATGCTTGACGTGCAGTTCAATAAATGTGAGAGGAAGGCCTTTATTCAACAGTTTGGGAGAACAGCTTGGGATCACATTTGGTTAAACTCCAAGAATGAAGTTTTTCTTTAGTGTGGTACCCTACAGCTAGTATGCTTCTTCCTTGGAATGCTCATTAGTCTGTTACTGAAGTTAGTGTATGAACTACTAAAAGATGCTTTTTAATTTTGTGTTGACAAAATATACAATATAAAAATATAATGGGAATTCTTTATTAAATCTATTTTCTACACAATTTCCTCCTCTTACTATGAACTAATACAACTGATATTAATGATAATAGTGTATCTCAGCTGAAATGTCATTATTTCAACCATTCAAAATCCAAAATCAGAAGGGTAAAATTTAAAATAAAGGTTTACTAAAGCCGGGGCTGGAGAGATGGCTCAGCAGTTAAGAACACTGGTTATTCTTGCAGAAGGCCCGGGTTTGAATCCCAGCACCCACATGGCAGCTAACAATTGTTTGTAACTCCAGTCCCAGGGAATCCAAGAGCCTCTTCTGACCTCCACAGGCATTGCTGGACACGAACGAGTGCACTTACCTACATGCAGGCAATACACACATATACATTAAAAAAAAAAAAAATTACTAAAGCCATTTATCTCATAATTGAAGGGAAAAAAAAATCAACAGATAAATGCTACCACTTAAAACCTCATAAAGGGGTACCAGGCGTAGTGGTGCATGCCTTTAGCCCCAGCACTCGGAAGGGGCAGGTGGATCTCTGTGAGGGTGAGGCCAGCCTGGTCTACACAGTGAGTTCCAAGTCAGCTGGGACTACAGGGAGACCCTGACTCAAAAAGACCAAAAAAAAAAAAAAACCCCACACAAATTACAGGTTACACAGAAGCATTCCACTGATGTGAATATTACATAGAAAACACTGTGCTATTGTAAAAACAACATCAAGTAAGCATATCAAGTAAGCATGGTGGTACACACCTGTAATCTCAGTACTGAGAGGGCTCAGACAATAATTCATGGTCAATTACAGGCTTATCTGGGTTACATATGTTCTAGAATAAAAAAAGTAAAAATAATCCCTACCCCCAAAAAAGGCTGGTTCCATAAATCTGGAATCACTTTCAAATCTATGCAATCAACTCTCATTTCAGATAAAAATAATGGTAAAAATCACTAAATGTACTTAAACTTTAATAAATCATTCCAGGTATGACCTGAAATAAAATGTAACTGACAAATTCTAAATTTAAGCCATGCCTTTAGTCCCAGTACTCAGGAAGAAGGGTAGGCAGATCTCTATGGCTTCAAGGCCAGCCTGGTCTACGTAGCAAGTTCCAGGCCAGCTGGGGCTACAGGGAGACCCTGCCTCAAAAAGACAAAAAAGAGAAAGTTCCAGACAGAGAAATTGGTATTATTTATGTGCAATTATTTAGAAAATGAAATCTAACAAAAGAGCCTTTTCAAAAAAAAAAAAGTACGAAAACATTTACAACTTAAATGTTAATTCTGGGTTGGTTTTAAACAAACTAAGCAATGGATGACTAAAGTACTATTTATTTGCATTGAGTTAAGTAACATCAGATTAATGCCAAACATTTAAATATCAAATTTCTTTCTAGGATTGTGAGGTATTTTCACTAAGAAATTAAAAAAACTAGTGCCACAGAGATAGTTCAGCAGGTAAAAAGGCCTCTGGGCCTCAACAGTGGCAATAAGTAAATGCAATAATTTAAAAAATATATATATATGAAAAAACTAACCAGGTTTGCTAATAGACAACTGTAATCTAAGCACTTGGGAGACTGATCAAGGGAATCAAGAGTCTGAGGCCAGCCTGGATTACAGAGTGACCCAGATCAGCTTGAGCTATATATAGTAAGCACCTGCCTCAACAAACAAAAACAGAACCCATTAAGAAAAATTAAGAAGTATTGTGTTAATAAATGTAGTTTAGAAATTCACAGCATACATTCATAACAACTGCTTAAAACTTTTTGGAAGCAAGAGGAAGATAGTGGTTGGACTGAGGGGAAATGGACAAACCCCTACCTGAACCAACTGGAGAGGAGCCAACACTGAGACTCTGTAAACTTCCATTCCTGAGCAATGTAGGAGATTTCTGAAGACTAGAGCTTGTGACGCTTCCTGCAGCTGATGCTACAGATGACGTTGGTGAAGCAGAAGAAACTGAGAGATGAGAAACGTTCTCTTGATTTTTGTTTCCTTTAGGTCGACCAGGCCCATGCTTACTCTGTTTATTTCCTTTCCTTTTCTTTTCCTTTACTATTTCTTCATCTAGGCCAGAAGTTGGAGCCCGCTTATATCCTGCTGTAGGGAGGCTGGAACTACCCAAATCTCCAGGTGAGTTTTCAAAGCTTTTAGGCTGTGAAATAACAGTTGAGGTCACAGGGTGACCAACTAAGGAACTGAAACTATTTACTCCCCCTTCCTGGCTTCCAGACTCTCCTTTATGTACATCTTTGGTTGATGACTGCTGGGAGTGAGTGTAACTGTCATTACGCAGATCTGAGTCTGTAAAGCTTAAGAAATCCTGGGGAGACTGTACTGAACTTCCAGAAGATGACTTCACACTGCCTGGAGTGCCTGAAAAACTGCCTGTAGCAAAAAAGAAAGGGGGAGGGGTTGGATGAAAAAGTTCCCATAAGCAGCAGACATAATACAACCATCAAAAAAATCCCCAAAAAACAAAACACAGAGTTTTAAAGTTAACTATAAAATTTAGGACATCACTATATAACAAAGCTTGATCTGAAAAAGTTTAGTACTTAAATCAACTTCATCTCTAAAATTATCTTTAAAACACTTGTAATATTATAGGAAGTATTACATACTACATATTCACTCTTGAATTGTTATTATTTATATAATTGCTAATATACAAAATACGCCTTATTTAACCTACCTACCTTTTATCACAATGCTCCTCAGTTCTCCCCAAACACCTTGTGTGTTAGAGGAAGGACTGAAGAACGAAGTCTTCTTTCTGACAGACACGTAAGAAAGTCTGGCAAGACTAAATTTGATGCAGCAGGGAACCTTCTTTCAAACACTGAAGATATGACATAAATGTTCCCATGTACAGAAAGAAACAAAAGTTTCCTTACATTATAAGTTCTAAGCTTTAACATTAAGACATAATATTGATTTTATTATTCAACTGAATTTATTCCAACAAAATATGATCATGTGGCATAATTTAAACTTTACATTTTCTTAATCCACTTTCCATGGAGTTTCATAAAGAAAAACCAGCCACAGTGTCCTGTTGCTTTTAAGAAAAAACAATCACAGAAGAGGCAGTTCTTATGACACCTGCTCTCACCTCACTCTAGTCAGATAGCATTAGCAACCACCATGTCACTATGTGGTTTAAGAATCTCAAGGTTTTTGTTTGCCTCAATAGTAAACAAAAGATGGGTCATATCAACCCATTTTGCATTATTTGTTTTCATGTTTGTCAAATGTAACAAGTGTTTAGATTCGGCTCTGACCATACATATACTATGTTTCATAAAACAGAAGGCCCTTGAGCTCAATCTCCACCTCCACATACATGCATACACATCTAACCTGTATCGTACTTGAACTAACGTGTTTAGAAACAAAAGCTCAAAAAAGCATTTTATTATAATAGAGAGGAAAATTTAATCTCAGTGTTAACTTTTACAGTAGAGTAGATGTATAAGAAACTTGATATAAATCTACCTTAAGTTTGCACGCACGCACACACACACACACACACACACACACAATTACTTTTCAAATGAAATCTGATGGTTTCATTTTTAACTGTTTCTAAAATAACTTGTTTAAAAGAATAGATCTAAGCCTTAAATCTTTCAAGAGTACACCTGTTCTGTTAACTTATAAAACTGTTTAATAGTGAGGGGGAGGTTACCAGGGAAGAACAGGTGTATGAGGGTCAGGGAGGAGAGTGGATTACTTTAAAAAAAAGAAAGAAAATTATCTGTACTTGTGTGGGCACTGTCAGGCTATGCCTACATAGAAAACATGAGGAGCAACTTAATTACATTACTGATTTTAGAATAACTGCAATTTGCCATGCAATTAACTTCTATAAAGAAGTTCTTAAACCAGGCATGGTGGTGCACATCTTTAATCCCAGCACTTGGGAACCAGAGGCAGGAAGATCTTTGTGAGATCAAGGCCAGCCTCCTCTACATAGCAAGTTCTACAGCTGGGACTACAGGGAGTTCTGGGGGAGGAGAGGGGAGGAGAAAAGAAAAGTTCTTATTCATTCTCATTTATCTTTCTTCTATTTTTTTTTTTTTAATTATTCTTAGGGGTGGGAGAGATGGCTCAATGGTTAAGAGCACTGGCTATTCTTGCAGAAAATCCAGGTTTGAATCCCAGCACCCACATGGCAGCTAACAACCACCCATCATAACTCCAGTTCCAAGGTATCTAACACCCTCCTCTGTCCTCCGAGGGCTCTGAACAACATGGGTGCACTTACATATATGCAGGCATAAAACTTACTAAAAATTTTTTTATTTCTAGTATTAAATGTTTCCTATGAGGCTGGCAAGATGGCTCAGCAGGTCAATGTTCTTGGCTCCAAGTGCGATCCTTGGGACCCACACGGTAGAAGGAGAGAACAGATTCCTGAAAGTTGTTCTCTGATTTCCACATGCTTGGCATGCTGGGAACACACATATATACACAAGACATAACATTATAAAAAAAAAAATTAAAGTTGACTATAGCCTACAACAAATACTTTTTTAATGCTTAAAAATTTTATAGATTATCTCAGTTTTATAATCATAACATATATATATTTTTGTTGTTGTTACTATGTCTTAACAGAGGCTGAAAAGATTTTTCAGTATTACAAAGCTCCCAAAAAACAGGTGATACATGTGCTAAATAGATCAGTATTTCATAGATTAAAAGCTGAAAAATAATCTAGGCCTAGTGGCTCATTACTACAATCCCTGTACTTGAAAAGCTGAGGAAGATCAGGAGTTCATGGTCATCCTTAGCAACATAAGAGTATTAAAGGTCAGACTTTAATAAATAAATAATATAAATAAATAATACTCTTTTTTTTTTTTTTTTCTTTTTGAGACAGGGTCTCCCTGTAGCCCCAGGTAACCTAGAACACACTATGTAGACCAACTAGGCTGGCCTCAAACTCAGAGATCCACCTGCCTCTGCCACCAGAATGCTGGGTTTAAAGGTGTGCACCACCACACCCAGCTGTAAGTAATGCTATTTTGATAGTAGATAAGTCTTACAGAAATAAGACAGTATTCTGCTGATGTCACATTCAAAATGAGAAAGAAGTTACATTTAAGGTTAATTAAAATTTCACTCATTTCCAAGTGGTATAGAAATAATAATGTAGAGGCAGGCATGGTGGCCACAACTTTAACCCCAGCTCTTAAGAACCAAAGGGAGGAGGATCACTTGAGTTCCAGGCCAGCTTGGTCTACATAATGAGTTCCAGGCTAGCTAAATGTGACCCCCATCTCAGAAAAAGGTACATTTACTTGAGTTTGGTGGCACACACCTTTAATCTCAGCACTTGGAGGCAGAGGCAGGCAGATCTCCGTGAGTTGGAGGCCAGCCTGGTCCACATAGCAAGTTCCAGGCCAGCTGGGGCTACAGAAGACCCTGTCTCAAAAAGACCAAAAAAAACCCCGCTACGTTTTATTTCAGTAGTGAATCTGGTACTTTGTTTCATCTATATTTATCTAATTTTTTGTTATAATATATAACACACATCTTACAAGTCTTCAGCAGAAAAATTACTACTAATATGAAATATATGAACATATATATATTGGGAGGTGGGGGAGGATAACTCCCTGTAGCCCAAGCTGGCCTGGAACTTACTATGTAGACCAGGTTGGAATCCATCTCACAGAGATCCCACTGCCTCTGCGTCCTGAATGCTGGGACTTCAAATGTGTGTACTACCAGGCCTAGCCTTGAATATGCTTTTATTTATTTATTTTTAAATATTTGATTTATTAATTTTTTATGCGTATGAGTGTTTTGCCTGCATGTAGGTAGGTGCACCCATGTCATGTAATGCCCATGGAGGTCAGAAGAGTGTGTCAGATTCCTTGGAACTAGAGTTAAGGATGGTTGTTAGCTACCACGTGGGTACTGGGAATTGAACCTGGGATGCGAACCCAGGAGCTCTGCAAGAGCAGCCAGTGCTTTTAACTGTGGAGCCATCACTCCAGCCCCTGAATATACGTTTAAATGAGAGACCAAGAAACTTTTGAAATCTACACATTCAAATACTCCTGTGAGATTTTGGATGTAAGTTAACAGATGCTTCAACAAAAATGAATGATAGTTTCCTCATTTACTTCTAAAGGAACAAATACTTCTGCTATCTCCAAGTTTTAACATTTGTTTTTCAAAATATTTATGCTCATATTAAAAATGACATAAAGAAATTACACAGTTACACATTCTAAAATTTAGCAGTTACTGTTTTCCATTAAATGGGGTTGCCATAAAAATACAGCAAGCCCAGTCACAGTTCAATTTCAGTTTAAAACTTAGCAATATTTGGAAAACACACTAAATTATTATTCACTGTCTATCTGAAATTCACATATAAATGGGCATCCTGTAAAAGCAGGGGCATGAACACAGCAGGTGGGAGGACTGAGAAGACTCCTCTTTGAACTCAAGCTTTTAATAGTTGCATGGTAAAACTGCTCAGTCTTACTGACCTACTAAGATATAAATGCTCTCAGGTTTCATTAGGAAAGGTAAATAAAAACATCTTATGGAAAAAGAATTGCTTTGCTAAAGGAGAAAAACTCCATCGTTGTTTTTCTCTAAAATCTTAATCTTTATTCCACAACTATTTAAACATTAAAACTATAGTTTTACTTTAAAAGCATAAATCATTACATATAAACAGAGCAAATGGTCTGGAAACATTTTAAAAGAATGCACTACTTTTGGAAGTAATACTATCCTATCAGCTAAATACATAATAACCTAGAAAAAGTATTAGTTTAAAGTTTAAAAAAAGAATACTCTTACAGAGCATTAACTAACTACTACTGACTATCAGAACAAATGTTTTAACTAAAATGCCGTAATTAATACCTTGTGGAAAGGGACTAGCTGCAGACACAGTGGTTCCTGAATTTCTTCCACCACCAGGCTTCCTTCCCCTTTGACCTGAGTTGTGAGCTGAAGATTTCTTCCCTTTGCCCTCTGACCCTCTAGTTTCTGAAACATCTTTTCCACTAGAGGTGTGTGCAGAGACTTCCTGGAAATTGGCATTTGTAAATCGTGCTGTGGTATCTTCCAGGCGCTTCAATGATCCTGATACAGAGCTGCTGCTACCGGATGTGTAAGTCTAACATTTTGATTCAAAAAAAGTAAAAGGAAAAAAAAAAAGATTATATTTGGCCACAGAAAACAATAGCATACTAAGTACTAAACTTTTAAGACAAACATAAAAGTTTCAGACCTAAAAGTAAGTCAGTACAACAAAGAAAATCATGCAAAAACAATTACTGAAGATCTATTTTAACTTTTCAGTTGTTTACTATACATAAGGATCAAGCCCAGGGCCTTTCAAATTTGAGGCAAGCACTACACCACTTACTCAACATCACATACTCTTCAACCATTTTTACACACAGTACAGTTTACAAGATAACTGTTTAAAAGTCAGACTGCAGCAATTAATAGCAATTCACATTAGTCATATATTTTAAATAATACAAAGAAACATCAAATGTATTCATTTCCAAAACATTATTTCGACCAAGGCTCTGCCCTAGGAGAGAACAAGAACATCTGAAGAATTCTGATGACAGCTACTATTTTTAAAAAGATCAAATCATTTGAAATAGAGATCCTGTTTCCAAATTGATGGAAAATGTGCATGCGTGCTTATGTATGTATATAGCAGAGGTAAGATTATTATTACTATACTAAAAATTGATTCTCTTTCAACCTCTTTGATATGTTACTAGGAAAAAGCAAAATAAAACTATTTAAACAACTAGCTTCTAGGCTTAGCAATTAAATAACAAGGTATAGAGCTGGAGAGATGGTTCAGCAGTTAAGAGCACTGGCTGCTCTTACAGAGAACCTGGGTTTAGTTCCCAGCACTCACATGGCAGCTAAAACCATCTGTAACTCCAGTTCCAGGGGATCTCATGCCCTCTTCTTACCTCTGTGGGCACTGCATGATACGGGTGTACTTACATGTAGGCAATACACTCATACACATAAAATTTAAAGGCAGAAGCAGGCATATCTCTGTGAATTCAAGGCCAGCCTGGTCTACACAGTGAGTTCCAGGACACCTGGGGCTACAGGGAGATGATGTCTCAAAAAGACTCAAAAAAAAAAAAAAAAAAAAAATGCATATGTATATATATCAAGATACGCCCAAATAATGGCAAATTAAATGAGGTGAATGTCTACTGCACCACATGTACGCTAATTAACATGCTTCAAAATGAAAAGCTCATAAAATCCCTCAGGAGCAAGGATTTTTAAATATCACTATTATATTCATACAAGTAACTGAAGTGCTTAAGTTCACTAGTGACTTGAACATAATTGGCACTGAATTTTTGATGAATAAATATCTGTAATGCAGCTAATATGGAACTTCTGGTGTAAAAATGAAAAAAAAATCTGAAGATAATGCAAATATTGAGCTACCTTCTCAGTTTGACAAAGATAAATTTGAAAACTGGGAAGGTAATAGGAAAATCAATTTTCAAAATGGTTGATGATTTTTGCATAAAGAATGTTCAAAAGAAGGACTAAAGGTCTTTAATCCCAGCACTTGGGAGGCAGAGACCAGCCTGGTCTACATAGTGAATTCAAGGCCAGCTGGGGTTAGGGAGAACCTGCCTCAAACAAAACAACATGCCCCCCCGCAAAAAAGATTAAGATAAATTTATAAACATTTTGTTTAATCTTTATTGCTACTTTTCTACTACATGTCCTGATGCAAAACCTCATCATCTCTTTGCCAATGATAGATTTTTCAACAATAAATACTATATTATCTCATAAAAACAAAAGTCACTGCTCTAACAAACTGCAATCCACAAGCAAGAACAAAGGCTTCAAAGTTTAGCAGGAAAAACAAAATCCATTTAACAAACCAATCACATTAAGCTGATGAAATTTCATGGCTTACTTTAGAAACATGAAATCTTTTCCAAGCTCCAGGTCAATTTGGAAACTACCCCACCTCATTTTTCAAATACCTTTTTCCAATTACTTGAGTTGATCCTGAGGTTCTCTACTCCTCTCACATCTGATCCTTGTACGACCTAGTAAAGTTTAAAAGTCATCTAAGAAAACACTGTGGTGTTCACTCATGGGCTTTGTGCAAGTATCAAATAAAGAATGGAGAAAAACAAATACTATGAATGGAAATATGCCATCTGCTTCCATAGAACAAGTCAGAAATCAGGGGTAGTCAATTCTCCCATTTTCATTGTTTTCCCCTTCCTTTTGGTCTTTTTCAGACGGGGTCTCTTTGTAGTCCCAGTTGGCCTCGAACTCACAGAGATCCCTCTGTCTCTGTCTTCCAAGTGCTGGGATTAAAGGCAAGCACCACTATGCCTGGCCCTGTCAATTATTTAATGGAATGTCCCGTTTATTTAATGGAATGTCCTTTTTTTTACTCAACAGAATAAGTCTGCCTACAAAAATCAATACAAACATGACATTTCTAAAGAAAAAAAAAAATACTAGAAAGGGATAAATGGATTAAACAAATCAAAATTAAAAGACCGAAAAAGAAAAATCACATTAAATAATTGAATATTTTAGTTTAAAATATTTTTCTAGGCCTTCTAAATTTCTCAAAGGTATCCGGGACTTAATATGGAAAAAAATTAGCTAAAGATTTTATGGTTTTTGTTTAAGTATTTTATTATTATTTTTAATGTGTATGAGTGTATTGCCTGCGTGTATGTGAGTGCACCTGTGTCATGCAATGTCGCAGAGGTCAGAAGAGGGCTTCGGATTCCCCTGGAACTGGAGTTAAGGAAGGTTCATTGCCGCCATGTGGGTGTTGGGAATTGAAGCCAGGTCTCCTTCAAGAGCAGTCAGTGCTCTTAACCACTGAGCCATCTTTCCAGACCCGTTATATTTTTAAAAATAACACACAATGGCTGGGCTCATGCCTTTAATTCCAGCACTTAGAAGGCAAAGGCAGGCGGATCTTTGTGAGTTCCAGGCCAGCTGGGGCTACTGGGAGACCCTGTCTCAAAAAGGCAAAAAAAGAAAATAATAAATAAATAAATAAATAAATAAATAAATAAATAAATAAATAAATAAAATTAAAAAACACAATGAACTGCCTATACCCCAAAGGTTACACAGGTTTCATTCAGAGAAAGGACCCTGAACTAAACTCTATTTTATTTTAGCTATTTTATCTATTATTTTTATTTTATATGCTTTGACAGGTATGTAAATGCACATGTGCATGCAATGGCCTGCTGAAGTCAGAAGAGGGTATCAGATGGCCTAAAATGGAGTTGTAGACCATTGTTAGCTGCCATGTGGGTGCTAGGAATTGAACATGGGTCCTCTGGAAGAATAACAAGTGTTGTTAACCACTGAGCCATCACTCCAGCCCCCAAACCTATATTTTAAAGGTAATTGAAAAGTATTTGTGCTAGGCATTGGTGGCAGAGGCAGGCTAATCTCTGTGAGATCAAGGCCAGCCTGATCTTCCAGGCCAGTTGTGTCTACAAGGAGACCCTATCTCAAGAAATAGCTAAGGAATTCCCATATAAACAATCCATTAGCTCAAATTAAAGGACAATAATGTTTAAAAGAAGAATAGAAGGAGGTACTGAGTGAGCCTGAGGCTAAATTCACAAAGTTGTCAGGTCAGTTTACCACCCTATAGTCCTTTCATAGGATTAGAAAAGTCTCACTGCAAATAATAGGTAAGTAGGTAGGGAGGGAGAGAGAGAAGAGAGAGAGGAGGGGGGGGGGAGAGGGGAGAAGGGGGGGAGAAATAGATAGGTTGCAGAGATGCTCTGTGGTTAAGAGCTCTCACTTCTCTTGCAGATGACCCAGGTTCCTTTCCAAACACTGACATGGTGGCTAACAACTATCCATAACTCCAGTTCTAGGGGATCCGATACCCTCTTCTGGCCTCCATAGACACGCACATGGTTCATTTACATACATGCAGGCAAAACACTCAGACAATAAATAAAAATTTCAAAAGAAAATCTCACTGCTGAAGATCTTATAAAAATATTTGCTCTAGCAAGGCATGGTAGCACATGCCTTTAATTCCAGCACTGGGGAGGCAGAGGCAGGTGGATCTGTGAGTTCAAGGCCAGCCTGATCTATGTAGTGAGCTTCAGGCTAGCTGGGGCTACAGAAAAGACCCTATCTCAAAAAAACCAAAAAAAAAAAAAAAAATTGCTCTTCATTCAATTTCTTCAACCACAAAATGCAAAAGTGCTTCATTTGGTACTTGCTAAAGTTTGGATTTGAGGTGTCTCAAAAAGGTTTGGATTTGAGGTGTCTTTAAGGCTTGGCTGAGGCCTGTGTTAGTGGAACCTACAGATGCTGAGCCTACAGGAAGTACGTTAGGTTTCTGTGCACATTACTCTGAAAGAGATACTGGGGACCACAGCCCCTCTCCCTAGCTCCTTGATGGCTGGCTACCATGAGATGAACAGATGTCTTCCACTGTGTGCTTTTGCCACTATGTGTGCACTAGGACAACAAGGCCCAAAGCCATGAGGCCAAGCAAGTCCGAACGGAGACTTCAGAACTGTGAGCAAGATGAGCCTTTCCTCCATGTAAGCAGCCATCTCAGATAACTGCAACGGTAAGCTGCAAGAATGTGCACAACTGAAGGCAATGCAGTCTTTATTATCTTCTCCATTAGAAATAACACTGGCTATGGAGCTGTAATTTGAATTCCTTAATTAGGGAGCTGGAGAGATGGCTCAGCGGTTAAGAACATTGGTTGTTCTTACAGAAGACTCAAGTTCGAATCCCAGCAACCACATGACAGCTAACAACCATCCGTTACCTCCAGTTCCAGGGGATCTGACAGCCTCTTCTGTTCTCCGAGGGCACTGCACGACATGGGTGCACTTACCTACCTGCAGGCAATACACTCATACACATAAAAATAAAAATAAATAAATAGAGCTGGGCATGGTGGCACATGCCTACTGTAGTCCCAGCACTTGGGAGGCAGAGGCAGGCAGATCTCTGTGAGTTCAAGGCCAGATTGGTCTACATAAGTGAGTTCCAGGACAGCTGGGGCTACAGGGAGACCCTGTCTCAAAAGGTTCAAAAATAAATAAATAAATAATTTTTAAAAGAATTCCTTAATTAGTGCATGAAAATGCTAGACCAGTGATTTATAGGCAACTTATGAGTAATTAAGAATGTGGTTTTTGTTTTATGGTCAGCTTCTATCATTAGGTATCTAATAAGATTTAACACTAACATACTTAAAATGTCTTTAATTGAAAACAAAAACTATTCCCTACTTCAACAAAGAAAATTACATTTATAATGAAGGGATGATTCTGGAATAGGTAACCAAAGATAATTCAGCTCTAATTTTACTTAATAAATAAGAGCCCAAATTTTTACTAGGTCAATCCTGAAGAATCCAGTATAGAAACTATCTAACATGACTCACAGAAATGAGACATTTTAAACAAACAAAAGATTAGTGCGTTATGAACCTTAAGTATCCTAATATACATGATGCTTTGGAATACAAAAAAAGAAACCTGATAGGGAGGTGAAAAAACCAGCAATTTTTTAATGATGAAAATAATAAGCTCACATATCTAAGAAGTTCAACTAACCCTAAGAACAAGAAGCATAAAGAAAACTCCCTTAACACAACGTATTATCAAACTGTTTATCGCTAAGAGCTAAAAAGAAAAGAAAAAATTTAAGCCAAGATTTTCTTTTTTTAAAGAATGCCCTATGTATTTACTACAAAGCAACTTTGTCCCTGAAAATACAGGAATCAAGGAAAGAAGAATAGTAGTACAAGAAACTGTCCATCTATGGGGCTGGGCAAGGTGGTACACGCCTTTAATCTCAGTACTTGAAAGGCAGAGGCATATGGATCTCTTTGAGCTTCCTAGAGACAGGCTTTCTCACTGAATGTACAGCAAAGCTGGTTCTAATGAGCCCCAGTTGTCTACCTGTTTCCATCCTCCATAGTGGTGGGGTTACAGGCAAATGTACAACTACAATCAGCTTTTTATATGTGTTCTGAGGTCCTATGCTTGCACAGAAAACATTCCTACCTGCTGAACCATCTCCAGCCACCTGTAAAACTATCCCCTTAACATTTATTGGCCTGAATTATTCTATGTAGATCAGGCTGGCCTCAAATTCAAGAGGCATGATAGCACATGCCTTTTATCCCAGCAATCAAGAGACAGAAGCAGGTGGATCTCTGTGAACTCGAGGCTAGCCAGGTCTACATAGTGAGACCCTGTCTCAAAAAAATACAAAAAGAAAACAAGAACCAGTCATGCATGTGATCTATAAGAAACCTATTTCTGATGGTTACTCTCCATCATCAACCTGATGAGATCTACAACCACCTGGGAAATGAGTCTATGGGCATGCCTGTGGGGTTATCCTAATCAGGTCAACTGAGTTATAAAGACTTGGATGTGGCACCACTTCTTGGGCTGGAATCCTGGATTGTACAAAAAGGGGGAAGTTAGATCAGCACACGCATTCACCTCCTGCTTCCTGACTGCAGGTGCAATGTGACCAGTACCTCAAGCTCCTGCCACCATGACTTTTGTGCCCTGAAAGACAGTAGTACTCTGAAACCAAAGCCAAAATAAACTCTTTGTTCCTTACGTTGCTTTTGTCATTTTATTACAGCAAACAAAGTAGGATATTACATAATGATAAAGGGATCAAGACTTCAGTATGTAACCAGCAATGAAGCATCCAATGCCATAGCTGGGAACATTAACACATTAACACTGAAGGGGGTCATATCAGAAGGGTATAGACCCATAAGACAGAAATCACTGAGGAACATAATATCATCATTAATCAATAATACACAATCAATACTCATAGACTGTTTCATTCAGCAACAGCAGACTCCACATTCCTCCAAACTCACATTTAACAGTCACAAAGATGGTCTGTATTCTGGATCGTAAAACACACCTTGACAAATTTAAAGACTAGGAGCCATATAACGTTAGCTTTCCTCTCGGCTCACAAGAGAATCAAAAAATCAAAAGAAAGATAGCTAGAAAATCTGAAAATACACAAAAAGTAA